GCTACGTTGTTCTAGGTGGATTGAAGTACATCCAAAGTTGGTTAAATGTGGTGGCATGGCGTTGCAAAAAAGGTGCCACGGTGCCTTCATGATCACAAGCTTAGTTGTGAAAGGAAGCATTTCCAATGGTCTCAGTCTTACTCATGTTTCGTGGAAGGTCGATAAATTGAAGTTTCCACCCTTGTAAATCAGCACTGCAAATGCAAAGGTATCAATCTTCGCATACAGGGCTTGATTCTTGCCTTCATCCTTCACTATCGCCAGTTCCAACGACGCCTCCCGAGGACCACCATCACAACCTCACTTCTCAACTTCTGTAGCTCTGTCAGGACCACGATCGCTCACAAACACTATGTGCTTCAGCACCAAAGATTATTTCTTTTTTGGCGCATCTAATCGGAGGAGCTGCAGGGAATTAAATACTTGCGGAGGTCAAATAATTCCAGGAAACCCAATCTTCAGCTGTGCACATCCCCCACTCGTGAGCACATTAAAATATTCCCACCTTCGGCTTGTGGGGATAACCATAGACTTTTCCTAGATGCTCTGGTGTTTTTAATTTTGGTGGAACCGGACACCGAAAGACAATTTCAACCTGGATTGGCAATTCCTATGACGACATCAACTCATCATGCTTGGGGCTATTTGATGGATATGCTGTCCACGATCTCACGAGCCTCGCTGCATTCTCTTCTCGTTCTACCCACCGATCACAGGTGATAAATGTGGTTTTGCAGTCTTTGTGAGGCTGGTTCGTAGATTCGGGCAGTTGATCGAGAACCGGAAAGTTCAAGTGGCTGTGCTCCGGAAGCATCAACTGTGTGGGTCACCTTCTGTCTTGCGTGACTTGTCCAACTGAACCCGGCCTGGTGGTTTATGAAGGTTCTGAATGTTCAAGGAATCTCAGGAAGGTCAATCTCTTGGTCTTATTTGAACTCATCGACCGGCTGTTGAAGCTTAGTGCATTACCGAAATCCTCTGCATCTAAGAAAGGTTCCTCCATTGGGTGCCGTTCGACTATCACCCTGACAAGCGTTCTTCACTCTCTGTAGCACAAGCTGCGACACCTTACTGTTTTTGAAGTTTGAGCAGGGATTGAGACACTTTATGTTTCCAATATTTCATTTAAAAAACTTCATCTCTCAACAATTAACCAAAGTTGCTGAAGCTACTCATGTTGGGGTCCTACCAGTCAAAACTGGCCGAGCACATTTTTTGAGTTATTGGTTTGACCTGTGCGGCAGTGAGAGAGAATAGTTCAAAAACTAATTGATATGTTGCGAATTGTTAGCTGGAAGTTTGAATCTTGTTGCAATTAGCACTTTGGATAAATTGACTGAACTTTTATAATTTTGATTCAAGGCAATATTCATGATGTTAATTGGTGATTTACAAATTGAATTTTGTTTAGGAGAAATATGTATATTTATATGTATATATAGTAGTGTAGAATTAAGTGCCAAACTACACCAAATCCATATAAATTACTTTGATGTGGAGGAGTTTGTATCCATTTAATACTTCATGCTAGTATCAACTAGGATTTGGAAGGAGTATTAGATGAAGCTCTCTTAGTTAGACATTCTTTGCCAAGTCAAATTTTGTAAGCTAGGAAGGAAGTACTTGTATGTTGATTTTTCTTGTAGATGGCATTGTGATTATTTAGTAAAGTTTGAATTTTTCTTCTTTTTCTTTCTTGTACTCTTAGATCCTTGTCTTATAAAGTAAGAAATACTTGAGTACTTTGTAGAGATGCTAGTTGTTTACTTGATAAATAATGTCTTTAATTTTTTTCAACTTCATAAAAAATTAATGAATTGAGGGTTAATAGAGTTGCAAACCTTGTGGATTGTTGCCAATAGAGATTTGTTGTTATTTTTTAGAAAAAATTAAAGTAAAAAAATATCTACTTTAGTTTTAAAATTTTACAATTTTTTTTTATTAGAAAAGGTTGTTGAAAAAAGTGCTTAAGTTATATAGTAATATGCAACAAGAAATTAATTAGTAGGTAATACACAAAAATAAGCATTGATTAAAAGATAATGTGGTAGTAATCTAGAAACAACAATCAATAAGTATTTTTTTTTTTAAAGTTAGTTCTAAAAAAACTTAATAAATTAAATTTTTTAGATCAAAATAACATAAATTTGAATGAAATTTATTTTTGATCAATGTAAAATTTTCTAAGAAATTCAATAATATAGTATATTTGGCATTTAGAGGTCGTTTTTAATATTAAAGTATAAACTT